TTGTGGCTAAACGTGGAAATATTTGTCAGAACTGTGTCCTGAATGCACTATACTTTTTGTCACTTTTTTTCCCATTGCAAAGTCCATGAGTGCCGATGGGGTTAAGGATTTTAAGATTTAAGCTTTGCATGGTGAAGTATCAGTTTCGTTTCGGTTTGCGGTAACACCACGTTGTAATAACTACTGCTCAGTATATATTTAGAGCTGAAAAGAACTTGTCCTGCTTATTATCAACTTTCTCTAAGTAGTTTTAGTTCTGATCAGAACAGTTAAGGATTTTGCTGTTGGAGAAATTGTTATTTTCAGGATACCTGTCAAATTTGAATTCTTGGCAAAAAAATGTCATTCATAGAAATGTCAATCATTTGTGGCTAAACATTGAAACATTTGTCGAGCTGCGTCCTTTTCCTTCATTTTTCCCTCATTTGCAAAGTCCATGAGTGCTGATGAGGTGAGACAGATGAAGGGATTGGCGGTGGGACTGTCGACCTCTGACCTGGCTCACATGGACCCTCAAGACATCAGGGAGTCTGTGGATGTCTTCGCTAGCAATGCCAACAAAATGAAGAAGACACAAAAGAGAGAAATCATCAAGCAGGTATAGGCCAATATGAGCCCTTGTATGATTGAGGGTTTGGGTGACAGTCCTGAGTAAATGTTGCAGGTGATTCCCTTCGTTGACATTCTTTATAGTTTATGTCCTCATTAACATGCTGTGTAAAAGTCATTAACATTACTTGTTTTATGTTCTCAGTTAATGTTGAATTTTTTACTGGTGTAATATTGTCTTATAATGTCTTTTCTTAGTTTTATGGCCTGCCTTTAATGTTGTAAAAATTCACTGGAGAGGGTCACATTGTGGTGACTCATCAGTGGAGTGGGGAGAGAGTTTGAAAAGAAGAGGAAAAAGCGACTCCAAGTATTGAATGATGTCCAATCTCCCTTTCCATCTCCCCACCTATGCTGTTAAAATGCATGACCACGACTGGACTCTGGAAAAGTTCCAGAAACAGTTTCGGGGTTGATGAATCGCCTTTACTCTCTTAGATCCACCACTCAACAGAAACCTGTAATTGTGCCGTCTTTATCCCCAGTTGAAGGAAGCCCCAGGTGGCATCCAGGATGCCATCCAGGACATGGGTGACATGGTCAAGGAGCTTCCGCTGAGAGACCTGGACTCACTCGCACGGCCAATTTCACCGCCGCAGCCGATGAGAACTCCACAGGTGTCGCGCGGCTGGACGCATGAACTGGACGGAGGGACAGGTAGGGGGACTTTAAAGAAGAATACTACATCCATGATAATGTGAAGTATATATAACACTAGTCACTGACAAGTTAATAATAATAATAACAGGTATTTATATAGCGCTTTTAAACGGGGTATGAAAGCGCTTTATAATTATTATTACCCCTCTTCAACGGGCAAACACTCCTGAAGCCTTCTCAACTCCCTGGGGAGCATACACGGCCGGCTGGCAGCCATTTTGGCGTTCTTGGCTGTAAGCAACCTTTCAGATCACAGTAACGAACTCTGCCCACACAGGTACCCATCTACTCCTGGGTGGAGAGAAGCAATGAATCTGATCTTTGGTTGTAGTTGCTCCTAACTGAATCAAAACATTGAACTGTTCATGTTTTTACTTCACTCAAGTCTTCAGAATCATTTGGTTTGGCATGCCATGTTTGGATCAGGACCAAATTTCTTGGCTAGAGCTGCTAACCTTAAAAGAATAATCACATCAAATTATACCAGCAAAACAATTGTTTTCACAGGTTTGAGAGAAAATAAGCCTACTAAGGCTTGTGTGTAGGTGTGCAATGCATTCCTTCACAAAGGTCTCTACGTGGCAGGTTTAGTATGAGTCCGGAAAAGCAAAACAAAATGTTTGTTATTTCTTCCTATTTGTTCAGAGCATGAAGTTGTTCCGATGTTTCAAGGATGAAGTTCTTGTCAGCGGTGAAGGTGAGGGAGGGAGTTCAGCTGATCTACTTACTCCGGCTACAATCAGGTGCAGTGGCTTACTTCTGATTCCTGTTCTTGTAATCCTTCTAACCCTTCTGCACATTTTGAGTTGACTTGTGATTTGACTTGTGATCAGACTTATGATTTGACTTGTGATTTGACGTGTGATGTGACTGATGCTTGACTTGCAGTTTGACTTATGATTTGACTTATGATATAGCTTGTGATTTGACTTGACTAGTGATTTGACTAATGATTTGACTTGTAATTTGACGTGTGATGTGACTGCATGGTGCTTGACTTTTGATTGATTTGTGATGTTACATTTGATAAACATTTTTTATTTTTAAAATATTTTTTTTTAATGTTCTTGTTATTTTTTACTGAGGGTAGTCCATTTCAGTTAAAAAAAGTACTTTCCAAAGGAGCCCTTACACCTGACTAGTGAATTGACTTGTGGTTGATGACTCTACTAGATTTTATAAGTATAAAATTTACAATTTACCAGATTTAAAATCTTAAAGTTTACAATTTCCATTGTTAGCAGTTAGCAGCATGTACATTAAGCCCTATATAGTCACCCATTGTTCAGGGGAAGGAGCCCATTCCTTACAAGCTTTATGGGCCCCTCCGCAGTATCACACATTTTCCATACTTATTGTTGGTTTGAACTTTGTTCTAAATGTTATTTCTGCTCTTCTCCAATTCAGTTGTCATTGATATTTTAGTACTATGGAAATAAACTGAACTGTACTGAACTCTTTCATTTCAGGTATATGGGCAGTATGGCCAAAGGGATGTCCTGCGATGACGTCGAGGGCTTTGTGGCCGATGACATCCTACCGACAGTTGGGGCAATGATGGAACAGGAAGGATGGTCCCCAAGGCTGGTAAGAATAAAATAGCTGGCCAAACTAAGGTTGGGGGGGGGGGGGGGGGAACATGGGAAATTCAATGGTACCAAAAGAGCCGTTGCACTGGAATTGACCGATTGTGGTAAAATCGCGTCAACGCAGCTTGTGAAACATTGTCCAATTACGTACATATACATATGGACGCGGAACGCGCAACATCATTTGGTTGTCTGTAAGGGCCGTGGCTAACTCGTCGATAGGTCAATATTTGCTTAAAGGAAGAGGTAACAATTCTAATGGCTCAATTGCATGTTCACACTTAGAGCACTTTTTGTTTCAGGAAATTTGTGAACAAGCTAGACTGAAGTTAACTACTAACAGATTCATCCACTGTTGGCCTTCGTCTGATATAACATCTCGACCTTACAGAACATTGTTCACTTCCCGAGAATAATTAACACATAATTTTTTTGTAAAATGCGTTGTTTGGTGGCTGATGTGGGCCCGTGTAAAAATGTTCCCGCACAAAATACAAACTCTCTGCCTATATACAATGGATAAAAGACAAAAGATGCAGATTTCTTGTGGAAACTGTATGTATAGCCACAGATTAAGTCAGCCTCTTGTGATTTTTTTCCTTTGGCCTTCACGAAGACTGTGAACATCATCAGCAGACGACATAATCCTGCATGTCACCCGATCACAATCTAGCATAATCCGCACTGACCTGACCATGGATAAATCTGCCACTCAATATGTTCACCTGATGAAGGGGAGGAGAACTATTTGAGATGAAACACGTACATGGCCAATATCATCCACTCAGTCCCGACCCAGAGAAAGTGGTCATTCCAAACCAACCAGGGCCCAATTTCATAGTGCTCCTAGCCGATGTTGTGCTTACCAAAAAAAAAAAGCCTCTGTCTATTTCCTAGAGACTGTTAAAGTACCGTAGTAATCACAGCAATAAGCACTTAAACCCAGAGGGAAAAAGATGCCTCAATCAGTGACGTAACATTAGAAATCTCCATCACGTGCAACCGTTAGCACATCCACACCATGAAATAGCGCTTAGGCAGCAGCATGATTTTCCACTTGTAGTAAGCACAACTTTTCTGCTAATTGTTAACCAGCACTATGAAATTGGGCCCAGGAGTATGCAGTTGATGTTAAAAAATTAATATGTACAAACGAATTTGGGGTGAAATTTATCTGTGTTAATATGTGCTGTGCTATTATTATAAATAGTTAAAGTGAATCTGAAATGGCATTTTTGCACAGACATCATTTACAATTGCGAAACGTTGATCAGTGAGCTTAAAAATATTAATAGCATTAGTTAATTACATTGTAATGACAAAAATCTTTCAGAGGGATGTTTTATAATTTTGTGGGTATACCAAAAAAAGACAAATAACCATTTTTTATTTTACACAGAATTTTTTTCACTGAAACAACAAAATGCAATTACTCTACAAATCAACAAGTCATTGCTCTCCCGACAGAAAAAACCTCTTGTCTCAAGAATAACAAACAGATGCATTACACCTGTGCTTGAAACAAAACAGCACCGGTCATAAACTCACTAAGCTGCCTTTAATCAGATGGAATTAAGCAATGCGCCGTGACATTTCAGCCATTATATATGCCTCACTCTAGTTGCGTGCCATTTTGAGTCGATATATCAGCTTACAGTAAGCAAAGAGCTTAAAGGTGTACCACCCACGCTATTATTGAGCTTCTACTTCAAAAGATAAATTGTATCTTTGAAAAACACATTTTTAAACTTTGGAATGAGACAATTTATGCATGCAAAAAGTGACACACTTTCAGTTATGGAATAGTTACTTTTTAACTGAACTATTTGTTTTCATACGTGAAAACAAATAAAATAAATCCCAGAATAAAATAGCCTTTTTCAGAGGGTTGCAAACACCCCCCCCCCCAAAAAAAAATCTATTTTAAAATAATCAAAAGTACAAGTTGAAAAGTCTGTAGAAGAAAAAAAATTAACTGGTTGAAAAACACAAATAGTGCATCTTTAAAAACATCTACATCAGCGGAAACACTGCAACAGATTTACCTTAATTATCACAACATCAAGGAGAGATTTCCTATTCTAATCCCGTTCCTTAATCCGTTATCCTCGGCACAGCTGGATTGCACTCACCAGAAGATCAAGGCCTCTCTCTCCGCGGCCCACGACGATTACTCTGCCGACTTCACCGAGATTGAGATCGCTGCGCTGAGGGGACAACTGCTTAAAGAGTTAAGGTACGGTTATGAAAGCCACGATGATAGACAAACAAGGTTAAGTTTGCGTCAACATTGGACCGCGTGTCTGTGCAACAGGTTTGAAAGTAAAACATCTAGAATTGCATTGAGATGTTTTGTGGTTCTGTTCCATACGTCTATCTTTCTGCCATAATCCTTTTCTAAATGCGTTTATTGTAAAAGCATTCCCTATTCAAGCTATGCTTTCAAGGATTTCTCCTCCATCTGCTGGCTGTCATCATGCCCATGGGCGTCGCCAGGATGGGTCAAAATAATTTAGTATTCGGCTATTCGATACTGCGCTCGACCACATGTTTGATTATTCAAAACACGCTGGTCAAGTTTTACACGTGCCAGGGGGTGGGGCACTTGCCCCCCTCCTGGAAAAGCACAACAAAAAAGGAAGAAAAAACAGAAAAGAGAAAGAAAAGAAAAGAGGTGTGAAGTCATTTTTACTATTAATTTAATACACATTTAACAAAATGGGCGTCTGCAGGGGTGTCAATAGGGGTGGGGTGGGTAAATGTCCCCCGCCCACCCCGCAAAAAAATGATAAACTGAGAATATGCTAGAGAAAGAACAACGATTTGGGGGAACAAAACCTGGCGACGCCCATGATCGTGCCTTCTGTTGTATTTTTGTTTTCATTTTGCCAGAAAGAGGAATTTGTCGAAATGAAATGAAGTAAGAGTGAGGTCACTTGTGACAGTGAAGAAACAGCTCATTCCAGCTTAAAAAAAAAAAAAAAAAAATGAAAATTTGTAATAAAAAGCCGTATTCTCTCTGAGTGATCCCTTTTTCCTATTTCCAAGGTTTGCAGCATTCCTAATGTTGCTTTAGTGTTTTGACCTTGGGCATGATCTCTGGCTCAACATGGCATGTATGGGTTTGATTCTGACTAGCACCCCTAGAACATAGACCTTGAAATAACGAGGAACTGCAATATACTGTTGGTAGAGGTTGCAGAGGACGCAGGTTCAAACCCAGCTCCAGTCGATGTCATTGTCCAACTGAAAGTCAATTTGTTTTTGCTGATTGCAAGGGCTGTCCGCTTTCGAATAATGTAGTATTCGGCTATGCGAAACTGCGCTCGACCGCATATTTGTTTATTCAAAACACGCTGGTCAAGTTTTACATGCGCCAGCTGCTGTCATTGAAGCACCAGGCCTTCTACACCATCCTTTAAAGAAAGACTGACAACGCACATACGCCGGCGCATCTAAGAACTGACTCTGACCCCCAATGGGGTGATACTCCAGAAGAGGCGTTGCCACTTTTACTATCCGGATCTACAATCCCAGCAAAAATGGTTGGGACACTTGGAAATAACCTTAGCCTCCCCCGCTCCCCCGGTCAATGTTGTTCTCTTCTGGGGATGGAGCCCACACCGCGCAATGAGAGACAACATTGAGCGGGGGCTGGGGGGTTGGGGGCCCGGCGAGATTTGGCCAGGATTGTAGATCCAGCTGCAACTGCATGCCGCTATCAAAAGTTGCACGCCAAGCGCGCCGGTTAAAATTGGGAACGCTGATCGATATTATATGGGCTGCTGGAGTTTTTTTTCATTCAGTATTTTATAACATTAAAGGCCTTTAAGCTGCTGAAAGGATGAGAAAAATAAACAGCTGTCGACAACGAAAGTTACTGTCGACAACAAGTGGCAACTGACAATAAAGTGCCGCAACTTTATGATTAAAATATGGTAACATCACAGTCGTGTGTGCAAAAGTAAAAGTAAAGTCTGTCCCGAGCCAATGTGGCTCATCAGGCCGGCGTTTATCTCCGGTTTCAGTAGCATGAAACGACTGAGAATATTTCTACTTCCCTGGATGGGATGCTAGTCCATCGCAGGTTACTCCCCAGCTAATGCCGGTACCCATTTATACTCCTGTGTGGAGAGGGGCAAGTGGGGGTGAAGTGCCTTGCCCAAGGACACAATATATGACCAGCAGCTGGATTCGAACCCCGGACCCTCTGATCATGAGTCACGAACCCTAACCACTAGGCCACACACTCCTCGTGTGTGTACCTGGGTAGTTTTTTTTCTCTGAAAATTCATTAGCAAAAAGCTATTCAAATATTCGGTTCATGATCAAATATTGGACTAGTCTGTATAATTGGGACAGCCCTGCTGATTGCAACCTGCAAGAGTCCTGGGCAAAACAAATCTGTGAGGGTTAGGAGGGGGAAATTGTATTTACTCCCTGTTAAAAAAAATGAGTTAAATAGGTAAATAAATCCCACTACTGCCTTAACGAGAAATTTCCAGAATCGGCGACGTTTTGTGGGAGATTAAGAATCCTGAGATTTATCCAGAGATGATCAAATATTCAAATAGTCTGTATATTTGGGAAAGACTGCTGATTGCAACTTGCAAGAGTCCTGGGCAAAAAAATCTGCGAGGAAGGGGAAATTGGAAAATAAATGAGGCATTAAATAGGTTGATAAATCCCCCTCCTGCCTAAGTGAGAAGTTTCCCGAATTGGTGATGGTTTGTGGGAGGTTGAGAATCCTGAGATTTATCCTGAGATATTAACATCTGTTTGTTGACACATAACTTATAAACTTGATATATAACTTCATCTACAATTTAGCATTGCAAACCATCGTAACTATTTGGAATTGCAGTGCACATAATATTGGCCAATGCCAATAGGTCATGGATATCTTGCACCCATTTGACCTGTAAATCTGCCCATAGCCCTTTTGAATTTAGCCAAGTTTAAGGTGGTTTTTCTTACTTTAATTCATTAACAATGAATTCCCAAAAGGTGTACTCATGCTTATATATCCCTGTGGATCAAAAGCCATGCACCTCAAAGATGGCTGTACTAAGGATCTATATATCTGATCATGTGTGTTGTATGGAGAGGTTAGACAATTTGAACAGCTGTAAAAAGCAGAAAGAAAAAAATGGTCAACATTCAGAATTGTTATATTGTGTGCTTGCACTGTAATTGCATTGGTCTAGGACCGCCACGTGTCTGGACAATACAAGCAGTCATTACAATTGTTAAACGTGGATTTATTTTTATTGGCAGTGTTGAGGAACTCAACTCCATCCCTTCCAGCCACTGTGAGATGCTGTATTCTGAGATTGGCAACGAGGATTTGATAGGACTCAAGAGAGACAAACGGAAGGCGCTGACCTCCAATGCCCTGCAGTGTCTGGTGAGTTGAGGTACTTGTGGTCAAGAGCGTCAATCACTTCTAAAAAAGTGGGGGGGGGGGGACATACCTTGATCAGAAATCATGCGAGCGAGTAGCGCGAATCCAAACGGCGGATTTGGATTCCAGATGCTCTGTGGTGCGATCTGAGGCAATTTCTGACAATTTTAACCAATTTTTTGAGCAAAAGATCATCATTTAAACATCATTTTCGAAGTTGGAGTCATTGAATCAGCTATTCTGAGCTAATAGAATCAAGCTGTAGGCTACAATATTTATTCAGGGACAAAAAAGTGGGGGGGGGGGTTTACAAACGATATGATACCCCCCACTTTAAAAAGTGTCCCCCACCGATTGACGCCCATGCTTGTGGTGGATGGTAAGTACATCATGAAGACTGGTTCGCACTTTACATGAAAGTGAAAGCGAAGTGAATTTCATGACATCAATAATTGAAGTTTCATTGTGACATTTTCCACTGCCTTAAAACTTTTGCTTGATTCCCACTCAAATTTGCGTAAATATAAACTGGCCTTAAGTCCATGCAAACATCACAAGTCCATTCACAATTCCAGTCACAATTAAGTAACTAACTCTTGCATACACAGATGTCTGGGTGATAGGTTGGTTGCTACGGGTAAGGTAATTTTGGCCGTGCGGCACAGAAAGATAGAAAGTACCATGTGACTCGCTCTCGACCAATCAAGACGCAGAATATGTGGGTGATGAGGTGTTATAATCTTTTTGGCTTTGCATGCACGGCAATAAAATACATAACACCACAAATACCATGTGACACACTTTTGGCCAAACAAGAGAGAGAGAGAGTGTGTGCATGAGGTCTGTTGGAACATTCTAAACATGGCATCCATTCTAATCCCAGGGCGTGGATGGACAGGCGAACACCATCGAGCAGGGTACCATGGATATCATCGGTAACCTGGCCTGCGACCTGGAGGCCGACATGCTACGACGCCTCTCCTCCGACGTCTTCACTGGTAACCTGTACAGCATGCAGAAATGCTGCCTGGATATCGACCAGATGGTGGTCATCGGGGAAAGACTGGTGCAAGAAATGGGGTATAAACAAAAAAAACCAATGAAGGTCAAAATTTATAAAAAAATCATATAAAATCAAAGGATATGAAGACATCATGACGTCACTTCAATTTTCATCTATAATACGTCCCTGTCTATGTACACACTAAGTTTCAACCCAATCCGACTTGAACTTGAGAAGATTTAGGGCTTCAAAAAATGCACCTTTAATATTTTTTTTACGTGACATGTGAAGATGATGACGTGATGAAGTCAATGTTCAGTATGCATCCGCGGGTAGTGGTCTATGTGTGTGCCAAGTATAAAGTTGATCGGATTAATAAAAGTCCCCAATTCGTTTAGGAAAACTATGTACAAATCCTATGGAGTAGGGTCTGAAAAAGGAAAGGGAAAAAGTCTTAATGAAAACAAGAGCTGTTTCAGCTGAGTTGATGAAACAGCTTAACAACTCATTTCTTTGATGTGACTCCAGAGATCATGGAATTATAAAGTTGTCTTTTTTAGAATTTTTCTTCAACACTGTTTTTTTTTTTTTTTTTTTTTTTCCAGATCCCCAAATCAATGGATGTCAGACACCATATCTGACATTGGTCCCCTCCTGGTTTCGCTGTCTGAGCTTGAAATACAGAACTTGGAGGAAGTAAGTTTGAAAAAATGTCAATCTTTAAAATTATTATTTTTTTTAAATTTCTTGAACGTAATCCCATAAAGGCAATTACACATCTAATTCCATTGGTTGCTAATTTAACTTTATTCCTAACACTATCAAAGATGACCATGATTTTTTTTCTTTTTCTCTGCACAGGATCAGTTTTCCTTGGTTGCAGAGGACGTGATGGTTCGCTTTGCCGAGTACAAAGAGATTTGGCGCAGATATTGCGACGTTGACCTACGACCTCAAGACGTATCCAGTCGGGAGGAGGGTTTCATTACCATGGCAATCAAGGCCAAAGATGCGCTAGTTGCCGCGGCGCAGGCAGATGTATCAGGGAGAAAGAGACGAGGTAGGGAAGATATTTAGATGGAATTTTAAAATTGGTTTTTCGTGGGTAGGGATGTAGATTCTTATCTTTAAAAAAAAGAAATGAAAAAAAGACGCAGGCTACATTTTTAAAAGCAAAGTTTTGATTCATATTTGATCTATTTCAAGACCAGAATAGGCATAGGCCTACGTCAAATTGTCCAGTTTAAAATGTTGAGGACCTGTTTTTTTTCCCCAGAAAACCTGGAAAATATTTTGGGGATTTTTAGGGTTGAAAATTGAAAAAAAACCCAGTTGCTTCTTAAAAAAAATTATCGGAAAATTTTATTTTTGATTCAGTGATTGTCATTGAAGCACAAACATTTGTGTTTTTGAGAAGAAATTAACCAGGGTTCGGAATTATAGCGGTAGCCAGCTAGCCAAATGCTAGTCAAAACAGCGGCGGGCTAGTCAGCCTGGCTGGTGAGTCAAAAATAATTTGGCCAGGGCAAAGATGAAAGGACAGGAAGGATAAATCATTAAATTCAGAAAGCAAATCTGTATCAATTGTGTCTTATTTTATCAACGTTTTGAAAGGTTTGAATCATTAGATCTGTTCATTAAAAACAGTCTCAGAATTGAGCCTGAAAGTTTGCCATTTTGTATTTCAACAACATGTGCAGGTTCGTGAAAATGCCCGTAGGCTAGTTAAGAGACTGTTTCAGTAGCCCGGCTGGCTAGTGAAAAAAAGAGTTAAGGTCAAACTCTGAATTAATGATACAATACAAATAATTTAATGGTTTTGCATTGTTTCTTCCTCAGTGTCAATTTTTTTCAAGCTCTTGTTCTTATCTTTATTTATGATAGACTCCACCTACTCGCCAACCTGCAGTGAAATCGAGTCACTCAGCGATGGCAACATCGCATGGACTGTGGATGAACTAGGAGCCATGACAGTCAACACATTTGACAGTTGTGGATATGCACTGGGTGAAGTGACAGGCTTCTCGGATGCTCAACTAGCAGCGCTTCTAGACAAAGCTAAAGAGGTTTGAATTAGTTGATACTGTGTAGACTGTGGACAAACTAGGAGCTGTCCCTCCAAGTTTGACAGTCAACGCATTTGACAGTGGTGGATATGCACTCGTTAAGTAAATCTATAGTAACTCAATTTTCTGTTCATCCCCTGTTACTTGTGACTTAGGCCTAGTCAGCATCTGAATCTCTTGTCTTGGCCGTCTTTCTTCTATTACAACTTTCTGAGTACAGCATGCTGACAATCCGCAGCTGTGCAAGACCTGTTTCAGACACAGCTTTCTTATTGACTTTTAAGTAATCGTCTAGCGTAGCTGCCTCGATGCTTACATCCTTTCACCATTAATAATTCCCGAGGCTACAGCAAGAAACATGTTTTCGTCAAAATGTACCCTCTCATACTGCCTCTCCTTAGAACTGCCCACCGGGATCTTGCTTTGCCTATAACTGTAAACTTTCACAGTTCAAACAAAATGTGAACAGATACCTCCTGTCACTGTGAGTTCTTCCACTCTTTCTTTAGGTTTCTAGTTGGAAATCTACACCGGCTTTAAACTGCAGCCTCAGCCATACGTTCATTTGATCGATATCTTTGACTTGTGATGGTAGTTATACGTGTAAAGGTACCACTAAGGAGACACGTGTTATCGTAATTTCTTCGCACGATGGGAGACATCGGTCATTAGGGAGACATTTTCATGTCTCCCTAATGTTACAGCCCTCCTTTAGAGGCACAATTTTACTGTCGCAATTAGGTTATATTTGTTGCTCGTGGTCTAATTAGTAAACGTACAGAAATTCGCACTGTAGCTAGCAAGCCTTAAGAAACCTGTAGAGAAAAGGCAATGAGAAAAAATTACAGTTTTAGAGGTGGGAGGAATATTAAAACCCCAGAATATTCTAGGGAAAACCCACAGAATCAGGTAGGGACTAAAAAAACCAATCCACTTGTTGGCCCAGGCGGGATTCGGGCTACTGCGGTGGAAGCGAAACCACCGCTACACCAACCTGACTCTCCATTGTACCAGATTACAACTCGTGTTGAATCAAAAAACTGCTGGTGTTACAGAACACACACTTATACTTGTATTGACATTTTGTTCCTTTTTGTTTGATTTCATCAGGCATGGGGACAGGCAGCTGACATGACACCAGACCAGATCTCCCAGCTGGGCCACATTGCATCCAAGTTTACTGCGGCAGAGATTGGCCAGCTCAACCTGACTGAGACAGATACTGTCTATGCTATTGCCCAATACAACATCTACACTTCAGACCAGGTAGGCCTATATACAGTGACATGTACTTACCAAGCTTCAAAATACTAATTTGTGCAATGTTGTACTAGCAGCCACTAGGTGCATAACTTATTTCTTATGTAAGATTTATGAAACAAATTTGCTGCGCAGCATGAGCAACATTTTTGAAAAATCTACAAATATTTTTTGAAGTCTTGGTTGCGGATAGTCACAGCTTTTACGATGTATTTTTTCCCCCGTATGGCTCTAAAGAAAACATTGGAATTAACTCTGTTTTCCTGCTCCATCTTGACCAAAGTTTTGTTCTAGTTTCTGTTGAATCTGATGATATATACATAAAACTTCTCTCATGGGTAGAACAGTTTATTTTGCCGAATTTCATGCAAAAACCTTAAAAACTCGGGAAAAGATGGGCTTTATGACGATCACAATAAGTCAGTAAAGTTGTTCGCGTTTGGTTTGTACATGTACGCCATGAAATGACTGCTTATCTCATGCCATTATTTGTTGAATGAGTCATGGATTATAAGCAGAGTAATTGTGAAATGTGCCCTAATTAGTTGCACAATAATTATGGCTGAAGTTGAGTAGTGTGGTTAGGGTTTGTGATTCATGATCAGAGGGTCATCAGGGGTTCAAATCCAGCTGCTGGCCATATGTTGTGTCCTTGGGCAAGCCACTTCACCCCCCACTTGCCTCTCTCCACCCAGGAGTATAAATGGGTACCGGCATTAGCTGGGGAGTAACCTGCGATGGACTAGCATCCAGGGGAAAAGAAATATTCTCAGTTATTCATGCCAAGGAAACCGGGGATAAACGCCAAATGAGCCATAATTTGCTCGTGACAGACTTGACTACTTAGGCCTACATTTAATTCAATTTTTTATTGCTCTGTAACTTGGGATTTTTCTACCCTTTGTTTGGTTTAGCTCAGCGCTGGTGTAGGGAGGTTCTCAGAGCTGAGTGGCATCTCTGTCACCAGCCTAGATTCCCTGGACCTGACTGCCTTGGCTAACTTCCTCTGTGGTCTGACTGCGGTAGAGATGGAGGACATTGCGAGCATCGCGTACCAGTAAGTCAACTTAGAAAAATCCAACCACAGCAAGTGGTTTTTCTCATTGTCTTCTTCTGCTGCAGTTGTTATCAGCCTTATTGATTGTGCTAAACAAGCCTGAAGTAGCTCCTCAAATTTAAAACAGCCATTTCTTGTTTTGTTTAATAGTGTAAATAATTTTGTAACCTTAAAAAAAAGCTTTGAATTTCTTGTATTCAATTGTTTTGCAAGATGATCATAATCATCACTTTTTAATACATCTAGGGTAAAGTTAATTTTTATCCTACATTAGAGCATTCTTATCTTTTAATGTAAAATTTGTGCCTCTATATAAAACACATGCCACAGAATTTACCCAGCTCCTTGCCCAGAATCTGCCACCTCGGATACTATTATTCTCCTTTTCATCTTATTTTTTGCCCTCAAGGGAGGCAGCTAATGCCGTTGGTGAGCTAAGAAGCTGTGATGCAGGCCAGTGGGCAACCCTGAAGACCAAGGCAGTGGATGGGTACGGAGCCATCAACACCTGGATGCCGGAGGTCTTCGCTGAGGTTGGCTCTGTCGTGGGTACGTATAGCAAGAGGTGTCCCCAGCCAATATGGCTCATCAGGCCTGCGTTGATCTCCGGTTTCCATGGCATGAAATGACTAAGAATATGTCTTTTCTGCCTGGCAATGCGATGCCAGTCCATCGCAGGTTAGGCCCAAAAAAAAAAGTCTCCGGTTTCTGGTGTGTGCACGCGTCGCCGTAGACATGCGCGTCGGCAAAATGAAATTTTTTTTTTTCAATGAAAGATGATGTCTCAAAACCGCCAAACTCACTGGTTTGACTGGAATCCTGCTGCTGCACAATTTTTACGTGTTTGTAGATTGGGTTATGGTCGAGAATAAGCTTTATGTGGCCTCTCTGGACTCCCATATATTTGCACTAAGTTTAGTCAGGCACCATTTGCAGTCATCAGCCGACATTTGAAGCCAAAAAAATCAGGTAAAAAAAAAAAAAAAAAAAGCCGCATCGCCGCACCACTTTTTGGGCAAGCTCCATACCAGAAACCGGAGACTTTTTTTTTTGGCCTTACTCCCTGGCTAATGCTGATACCAATCCTGGGTGGAGGAGGGAGGCAACAGTGCGGGTGATGTGGCTTGCCTAAGGACACTATATATGATGAGTAGGATTCGAACCTCTGACCCTCTGATCATGAGTCGCAAACCCTCACCATTTAGCCACAGTCCTTAACAGTATGTGTCCATTCTCCCAAAATATTTGAACAGTGTTGTAGTAAACCACCACAAGTCCCTCACGAGTAACGGGATAAACAATATTGGACTTTTGATGAATTGAGTAATAGGCTCTTACTTGTAGAGACAGCTTTTTGGCATTTTGATATTTCTTATTCTGTTATTGTTTCAGCCAGCTTCACGACACAGGAGTTGAGTAGTCTATCCGATGCTAGCATCGCAGGCATCAAACCACACGCAGTCTCGCTCATACCTCCACAGACGCTAGCTGTAAGTCTACCGTTTAATTGACAAAACAACCTTTTTTTCGCAACCACACACAACACGCAAAGTCTTACGTACATTAGTCATTGACTTTTCACCATGCACACCTTCAAGTCTTAGTTACATTGCACACATACAGTAAACTCCGGCCAAGTCGACATCGTATAACTTGTCATATCGCTTAAATCGGCCATCTGACGAAAGTCCTGATCTTCTCCAATGCAGTTCCATTGAACTTTTCATTTCTAAGTCGGCCATTGTAAGTTGCCATTTTGCCTAAGCCGGCGTGTTACTTTCGGTCCCATTTCCTCAAAACAACAAAAATTCCTCCGTATGAGTTGGCACGCATTAATTCTTAACTGTACACGTACACGTGCGTACACATTGTATGCAAGCGTTCTGCTGGCTGGCTGTCCATGCTTCGTACCGGTAGGGCATGACTTTTTGAGATCAATACCCCAGCCTGTATGTGATAATAAACATCGAGGATAAATTTGCTGGAATCAACCATGGATGTAGAAATAAACCAGTGTAAATCGAAGCCTGTGATCCCATAATGGGAGATTGTTTGCAGTATTGATCCAGATACAGATGTGCATATAGCCATTCAATGTATTTTTTACTCCATGATTCAATTTATGTAAGTCGGCAAATGTCGGCATTCGCACAAGTCGTCAAAAGAGTGCCGACTTAGCCGGAGTTTAATTACTGTACTTCCAAAAAATATTTGATAATAATTTGGTAGGTTACTTTTGTCATAAAGTGATCCTATATCCCTTTAATGCTTTTTGTTTTGCAGGCTGGATGGAGTAGCGTCCAACTCAGCAAGCTAGACCAGCTGCAAGCAGAGGCAGTGACGGAGGAACAGCTTGCCGCCCTCTCCCAGGAGCAACGCTCCGCCCTCCTGGAGGCAGAGTACGGAGACGACATCAGCCTGGCTGAGATTGAGGAGACTACGGAGGTAGTTGTGGTAGAGGAGGATGACGGAGACAAGGGTGGTAAGTAGTGTTTAGAATTATTCCCATTATGGACTGGTTTTTCAGAGCCACACTAAACTAAATCATCCCGAAGATTAACACTGAAGACTTTTTTCTCCTGACAAATTTTCAATTTGTATGGTTTTTTTTTCTTCTCTATCAGGTAATGGTGCAGGGAACCAATCAACTAGCCTGGTGCCCACCATCATCATCATGTGCAATTTAATGTACAGAGCCATCTCTATAACATAGAAACTATAATGAGGAGAGGACGTCATTAACGTAATCAGAAAATGTTTCTTGAACTGTTATTAGGTTTCTTATCAATACCTTCTGGTTCTTCAAATTTAAGTTCTTGTTTTTGAAGGGTTTGAAATGTTCTGAAATCTAAATTATGCATTGTAGGATATTCCAATCATTCTCCGACTCTTCAGTGCTGCAACATATGTTCTGAAAAGTTTTTTCTTTCGGCAGCCGTAATGCGATTTCAACTACTATTGTAACAGCATTGCAAATCACCATTGCGAATCTATTTGCCATTTTTAACTACTCGTCCGAAGGAATGCTTTGGTAGCGGTAGCTCGATTGATTACACGTTGACTACTGTGCCAGGGATCCTGGTTCGAATCCACAGCCGCGCTGCTCAATTGTTTTTCTTCCAATAATTGACTTCACTTTCACATTTTTTAATCATATTGTTCTTTTAATTTGAGTAGAATTAATTTTCTTCTTTGTGGCTTTGGAGGATTTTTTTTAAAAGGGAAATAAAGTCCGAGAACCATTTGATTGAATGATAGTCTGGTTCCAACAGCAAAAAAAAAAAAGACCAGCTTATGTTAAATACTATAAGGTTCTGTAACGATAATTGAAACTTGAGTTACGGCTGCCGTAATAAGCCACTGCTGTGTTTTTAGCATTGACACAAATTTTCCTTAAAGGTGACAAAATGTCTGTTACAGTGTTTGTGACTGAATGATGCTGTTACTTTCTGCATGAAGCGCCACTTTATAGAGAGTAATTAGACACAAAAGTTGAACACTCAAATGCCTGAAGTCAGCTTATTCCTTGATACCTGCCAAATAAGCCCTTACTTTGTGTTGCTCAGTGTTGTACAAAACTGACAACATGTTGGTTTACTCTCTCTCTCATTCTGAAACCTTTTAGGAACACACTTTAATTAGTATAAATTCATGAATATGAAGTTGAATAATTTAATACCGTCTTTTCAGTTGGATAGAAAATATGCTATGCCGCCTTGCCAGAATTCCGAAGTTGTTTTTTTTACAGTTGTCATAAATATTTTGTTCTTTCAATTATAAAACATTTTATCCAAAAATATATTCTTAATTTTTGTGGCATTTTGATAGGTATAAATTACAGCTGCAAAAAATCTTAGTTACAGAATCGTTATAGAATTTTGTTTAATATGTGAGATAATTATTATAGAATTTTATGAATTATTTGAAAACAACAATTGCCGATGATAAACACAGGTTGTTAATAAATTTGTTAACAGTCTGAATTGTACATAAATTTGTTCAGATGTTTTAAACATGTTCACATTTCAATAATATATATGTTAACATTTCAATATTCAATAACACAAATATGTTTTCAACATAAAGAAAATAAAGCTTAATATATTCCTTTTCAAACTCATAAAAAAAGAAGTGTAGTATTTCAAATTAATTTAATAACTTTGTGTAATATTTAAACAGATGTAGCTTAATAATGAATTATACTTTCAAGAACATGGTGTCGATACTGCGAACGAAAGCAAAATTAAAATGAAACATAAAATACATGCCAACATTTCTAGATCTATTTATTCATTAGAAATGACCTCATTTGAAAAAAACTCACGTCAGGACTTCACTTGAAGAAACAAGGTTAATCTCCAAGGTTAATGTCGTCAATGTCTTTCATTTACCTCCAACAATGTGAGTTCATTTTTCCCTGAAAAGAATAATAAAAAATAGAAAAAGAAAAATTAATACATTTAGAATAATAATAATAATAGGACTAAAGATAATAATTATTACCTTGGATTGGACATTTGGGAGACATCCCCATAGACTTGTGCACAATTTTTTTCAAAGTTAAATGTGCCCTAACCCAATATTCCCTTGTCCTTTTTCCACGAATTTCGGTATGTTTACTAATTAGACCACCAACAACAAAAAATAACCTCATTGCAAAAGCAAAATTTTGCCTCTAAAGGGGGGCTGTGACATTAGGGAGACATGAAAATGTCTCCCTAATGACCGATGTCTCCCACTGTTTGAAGAAATTATATCATGTCTCCTTAATGGTACATTTACACGTATAAAATATGTAGCGCAATATACACTAGAAATGCTCAGCGCTTCTGAAAGCATTAAACAAGTGTCTTAAGTTGTGATTTGAAATTTTCCAAGGATGGGCTGATCTTTATTTGATGAGGTAATTTATTCCATATTCTTCTGGTGCTGCATAATGAAATGTCCGTTGGCCGTAAGATTTAGTACGCACTGTACGTGGAGATAGATGATGTGAGCTGGAGTGAAGATTTCGTGAGGGGCGGTATTCAGTTATTAATTCATGGAGATAATCAGGGGCCAGTCCATTGATGCATTTATAGGTGAGAACTAAAAGTTTGAAAATGATTCTGGACTTTACTGGTAACCAATGTAACTGTTGTAAGACTGGGGTAATAGGTTCGTATTTTTGCGTTTTGGTTAGGAGCCTGGCTGCAGAGTTCTGTATGCGTTGGAGTTTGTTTAGTTGTGATTCTGGTAATCCATACAAGAGGCTATGACAATTGTCAATATGACTTGATACAAAGGCGTGAATAAATGTTTCTGTTGTGTGTTGATTCAGGGCGTCTTATCTTTCCAATCTTATAAAGACCAAAAGAAGACGCACGGCAGCTTTTGTTGATGTGATTTGTCATTGTGAGATTGTGGTCCATGATTACTCCCAGATTTCTTGATGACTGTTACTTGTAAAGATATGTTATCTAAGCTGATGGGTTGGAGTCATAGAGCTATATTAAATTACTAGAGCGCTAACTTTATGTACAAAGTGATGCCTAGTCTGCTGGGCGCATCCATGTTTGTACACAAACCTATGGAGAACTAGACATTTTGTACGTATTTTGTACGTCTATTTGCATGCGTATGTATTCCATACCGGTGCGTCATCGAAGCCGATGCGCCCAAAACCAGAACGCACGATCAGCGATGGCAAATGAGCATGTCATTTTGCTCTACACAAACAGCGCAATGTGTGTGTGTCCCTCCGCTGCAGATGCTTTTCGCTGTGACGTTTTTTGAACCGTCATGGTGCGCTGAAGTTGTTTGCGTATCTTCTACTTGCGCGTTGCATTTAGAGTACAATTTAAAATATAATCCATCTACTTTGATTGTGTTCTACAAACACGCACATAAATTCAAAATGTCTGCGCCCAGAACGGCTTCAAAGCTTCTCCACGCGCAAGAATGAAGAGTTAGCGCTCTAGTTATTTAATATAGCCCTATGGTTGGAGTAGACTGTTCTTCCTAAATCGTGATGTTATGTGAAGAAGCTCCGTCTTTGCATCGTTAAGTTTTAACCCATTTACAGTGGACCATGTTTTGATATCCTTTAAGCAGGCTTCTAAGTTGGGTTTTACTGACTCCGCATTTTGTTGAAGGATTGCGTATAGTTGGGTGTCGGAACTGACAGAACTTAATCAATCTGGTTCCAAGAAGACATTGCAGTGCTGAAGTACTAGAAAGGATGTTAGGTAAATAGTCACCAACCTACATGTACTTCCTTTTATATATGCATGAAACTAATGCAATGAATTCATGCTTGATATGTGTGAATGTTTAGCAGGGAAAACTTGCGTTGCAGAAGTGTTCTTTTCATGTCCAGTCTAGACCCATCGCAACTCACCCAAGTCTTATGTAATTAGTCATTGACTCTCCACCATGCAAGCCTTCAAGTCTTAGTTACATTGTACTCATACTTCTAAAAAATCTACATTTTGTGTAGGGAGAGGGTCAATAGAACAGCAGATTGAAATTAGAATAAAGCATAATGCTACCATAATGGGGTCCACAAGAAGAATTGATTAGCAAATGTTGATGGTGGTTGTAGCTGCAATGGCTGGTATACAAATAATGAATGATTGTGAGTGCAATGGTAAGAATAATTTCATGAGGTGACAGATGAAATGTTCCATTCCACTCGGCTTCGCCTCGTGGAATGGAACATTTCATGTCACCTCATGAAATTATTCTTACCATTGCACTCACAAACATTCATTATTTGTTTTATATAACAACTGAATAAATCCTCGTCATCTGATTGGATGACTTTTAATAGCCAATTTATTCAAGTTAAAAATTGTTTACAAGTTTGACAAGTTCAGAGTTATCATATTAAATTTATGCAAACTGTTAAACAGGTTGAGAACTATCATATTCAATTGATCTCAATTTAAAACTTGTCCATAATTTTAGAACTTAAACAGTTCAATAAGTTCAGAACTTTTATTGTCAATGTAAACACCACAGCGCCACCATCGGCAACATGTGCAGTGACAGTGCAATGGTACTTCTATTCACAGTGCAATAGTACCTTTCATTGCACTGTGCGCTGCGCGCCACGCGCGCGCCGTGCGTTGGTATGAATAATTCAATGACATGTGATCAACGATCCACCAATCAGATGACGGGGATTTATTCAGGTGTTTTATAATATATAATTGAAGTGTTTTGTTCATGTCTCGTCTAGAACCATCAGTTCCACTCTCTAAACGTTTGTCTAACATATCGTTCAGTAATCAACAAGTACAAAAAGAAACTTGCCTCTGATTATTGCCTTTACAAAAGCCCACCATTCCTGGGAAGAGACTGTTCTGTACACCGGCCTGGCCACGGCCATGTACAGATCACCCCACTGGACGAAAGGGTGGACAAAGACCACACCGTCAGAGGGTAGGGACTTGTAGAACTCAAACTTGCTGGCTCCGGACCATTTGTAGACGTCGATGGATCCTACACTGCTGACAGCGGTCAGATAGCAGATTTCTGCAAAAGTTAACCAGAAAATTGATATCTTAAATACAATTAAGCATTTGAGAAAATTTGATTTACAAATAACAGGGCAAAGCTCACAATTTCTGTTAGCAGAGCCTTCATCTATAGTACAGCAAAAACGTATGTTAACCTTGTCGTTGATGTTATGCATAGAAATCAACGCGCACGTAAAACGGTGTGCACACTTACACCGTAAAATACAGAGTGAGCCAAAAAAGTGCAACATTCAGAAAACAAATAATTAAACCTGTTTTTTTTCTTCAATGAAATTATATATTACATTAAAGAATGACTATTTCTAAAATCCACTCCTTTTTACCCCATTCCATTTGGGTCCCTAGATCCAGAAATATGATCCATTAAAGTGAAAGGGTGTAAGTTTTACTTGGGCCACTCTCACCTGTGATGTCACCAACTTCAATGCCTATTCAATGGTTAATCCAGATTCAGCATGTCCAGGTGAGAGTGGCCCATGTAAATAGTGCTTAAGGTTAGCACTATTTACTGCTGTTACGCAGCACCATGAAATTAACTCCGGAAAAATATCAACCAGCATAGCAACAAGTTTAAAGTAAGTGAGATTAGATGCTTTGCATGGTGGAGATACTAATGAATGAAAGGTTTGCGGAAACATCATGTGCGAAAAATTTCTCAAACTAAGAGAATGGTGCTAAAAAGAACCAGAGGTACAAACTCGACGTTCTGGTCAGTATGCTCTGACCTCTACTGAAGACGGTCAGAGCATACTGACCGGAACGTCGAGTTAACTATTATTGTCAAAAAAATAACCATTAGACCAAAATCATAGGCTTCAGCGGATTCCAGGTTCAATACACATACCAAGTTGGAACTTAATATTTCAATTCTTCTCAAGTTATTCCCAAGACACCATTCTATTGTTTAAACCATACTGGACCTTTTGCCTGTAGGGTCCAAACACCAACAGACGTCATGTTTGTAAGGCAAACTCGCCTACAAAGTTTAAAATTTGTATGGAGATAAATTATTGAGAAAAACTGCTGAACCTATTATTTTAGCCATTACAACCTTGACTTTTGACCCATGGGGTCCAAAATCAATAGACTTCTGTAGGATCCAGAGGCTAACCCGCATACCTGTGCTCAATTTCACGGCGCTGCTAAGC